TTCAATTCTGATTTCTTCCTTCATCTTCTTTATAAATTCTTCGATCTTCTTGTTCAGTTCATCCGTGTTTACATTCACATAATTTCCTTCTTCCACCAATGAATCCCTGTCTAGAGTCGTACTATCTTCAGCTTCATCATCGTCCTCTTCTTCACTCTCTGCGATCCAAGCTTCATTATTTCGTTCTCCAGTCTCTTCGTGGAAAGATCCTATTTCTTGTTGCTTCTCTTCTTCTGCAACTGCAACTGCAACATTCTCTAGTACAGAGGATTTCATGGATGCTTCATTATCTTCAACTGTTGCCTCTATCATTGCATGCAGTTGAGGAATTTGCTTGAAAAGTGATGAGTTCTTTGCAAGAAAAGCGAGGATGCCATTGCAAATCAGAAACATGAACTTTCTATCTAGAGCATGTGCAATGAGAGCGAAAATGAACGTCGAAAATTGAAAATTAATATAGGTGAAGTAGAAAGAGAAACCCATAATATGGCAAAATGAGAAAGATAAGAGGGACAATGGGACTAGAAATTGCAATGTCTTCTTGATAAACTGATAGTGACTCTGAGATTCGTTAGTTGCTTGGACTGTTGGGTCTCCATTTTGATCCATCTAAGGAGGTGATTTGTGGTGGACTCGAGGGCTGGCTTATGGTTTAGGGGGTGAAGAGAACCTTTATATATACTCTGTAACTAGTGCAATTATTTGGCTTTTGGTCGAATGACATATTCGATGGAGGGTGGGTTTGAAATGATTTATTACATCTAGAAGACTCGGGTAGGTCCATATGCATTAGTAATCTCTTTTTGAGATTTTTACAGACATAAATGATTGGAACATGGTGGAATGCAAGAGAAGCAGCTTTTTTCTGAAGTTTCTAGGGAAGACCTGTACATTTAACGGAAATTTATATATTAATTTAATAAGCAAACATATTGGGATATTTAGACATACTCTTAAGGGTCTATTTGGCAATGCTTTCGAAAAATTAAAAGTTGTTTAATGAGATTAAAATGTTATTTTCAAACATGTTTGGATAATTTTTGAAGTATTTTGTCCGGTTAGAAAAACTTTTAAAAGAAGCTGATATAAAGTAGAGAAAGATTTCTACAAAAAAAAGAAAAAACATATGTAGAAGTCTTGCCGTCCCTCATTCTCATTTGTCAAAGCATTTTTCCAAATTCCCGATAAAGCTTGGTCTAGACGAGTTGTTTGATTATGTTTTCGGTGGTATTACAAGAAATGAGGAGCCAAATAACTGAGTGACCCGTTTGGAGAATTAATTAAGAAAACTAAACGTTTTGTATAAATTAATCTCTTAAAAAGAGACAAGACCAGAACTAATTTTGTTGCAAAAGTATGATTCTAATGTAACATATTTGTAAACAAGGGTTTTGATTGTTGTGAAGCAGCTCAAAGGTATTTTTTTAGTCTATAGACCACACGAAACAAAGTTTAATTTGAACACTCTTTTTCCCTATTTCCAATTCTCATCTTTAATAAAAGCACTTTTCTTTAGATCAAACACACACACACACACATTTCAGATCGCGATGTTCAAAATTAGTCAAGGAGGATGCTTCTAGTGCGAACCAAAATTCCTATATTTGGCCCCTGTTTGGAGCTCATTCTTCCACCAAAAGAATACATTATTTGACCGTTACACTCCAAATCCAACAACTATTTTTGACCGTTTGTCTCATAGGTGGGTTCCACTTTCTCAACCAACGGTCAATTTTTTTGTTACTTTGGAGTTGAAGAATGAACTCCAAATAGGGACTTGGTGAAAAAAATGTATGTATAACTTAGACGTATAATAAAACAAGAATTACATGGTTAAAAGAATATTGGGATTTCTTGTTAAGAGGCTATCTGGGCGTGATTTCTTCCCAAAAC